TGATGGCTGAGGAACTTTGCCCAGAAAAATCAAAGACATGCCTAGAAGAAACTGGCCCCCGAACTGAAATTTGATAGTCAATGCGGCCCTCGGACTGAAAAGTTTGGAGACCCCTGTATTAGAGAATAATAAAATTTAAAACGAGTTCCAAAACACACACACGAACCGCAAACACATTACTGAAACTACAATTAAAATTGTTATTCTATGTACCCTAAAAATCACATTTTTAGAACCCCATCTCAAGTTGATATATACTCTACTACTTGTCTTACTTATCGTCGCGAATCTCAGCGCCGGGCATGTGTCCACTTTAGTGCCTGTACAACTTCTGTTTGTTTATTCCTGCTGGACATAGACCACCAACCACTCACATGTTCTAATTCACATGTGTAAACTATGCCGGCTTTATCAGGCTCAATTCAACAATCCTTTTTACTTTCTCGTATATACGAAGTATAGAGAAAGTCTTGTAATCGTGCAAAAAAATCGAGATTTGTAACGACGTTTACACCTCACTGATACGGAAAAACATAATTTTGCAATGTTGTCCGTATGTCTGTGTGTGTGTGTGTGTGTGTGTCTGTGTATGTGTAAACACGATAACTTGAGTACCGTTACAGCTAGGTTGATAAAATTTCATATATAAGTATTTTATCAAATCGTAGATTCGTATAAACGTTCGAGCGATTTCCGATAACCGGAAGTGGTACTTTTTCTACTTTGAATTTTTCAAAAGCCTATAACTTGAGTATTATTTGAGATAGATAAATGAAATTTCACATGTAAGTAACGGATTTAATTCTCTACCTTCTGTTAAATTTCCGTTGAAAGGAAGTAGTAATTTACGCTGTTTCCGATTTTTTCAAAAACACACGTAAATGTATAAAGTACTAATAATATTGCACACTTTTATGCACATCTTAAATTGGCGTTCACTTGGTGCGCAATTATTTTTTCTACGAGATTCTATTCTATTTTTAAAAGTTTAAGTAGTTAAAAATCATGTCTATATTCCGAGTTGCCATCCCACGTAGTGTTATATAAGAATATTCGAGAAAGTTTAGGGGAGATTACTCCCGGTTTATTTTATATGTTAGGCCTATTAATTTTAGGTTTTAAGATCAGTTTAGAGATGTAGGGTAATTGTTTACGTAAAGTGTGCATAGTATAATGCAATTTAGCTTATCTTTGATATGTCAATACAAACAGGAAGGGCGATTGCAGGTCTCTTGTACGACAGCTGATCTAGAATACTACCAGTACATTTAATCAATATCTATCTACTTTTAGCACAGAAACCCCAATCTAGCACAGTACCCAGACGTAAATCTAATCAAACCTAGAGGAAAAGATCATTGGCAAGTGCGCCCTGGTTATCGACAGTTAAAGCCCAACATGAGAATTGACACACGTGGAACGCAGCTTCTTTTGTTAATTTATGGCCTACGACCTCAAGACGCTGGCTGGTACTGTTGCAGTGTAACTTACTTTGACGAAGCTGATGCTAAACGTTTAGCCCACAGGTGTCATTATTTATCAGGTGAGAAACCGTCCCTCCAATATATTATTCCGTATTATGAGAACAATGTTAAAGAAACAATTGGCTTAATATAAGCTACTTTTAACATACGTGATTTTATATTAATCGAAATATTATAATGCAACACTACCTTATTAGGTATGATTTTATCTAAGAGTGCAGATGAATATAGAATAGCTTTTAGGACAACCAGAAAAATACAGATATAATATGCAAAGTAAACAAACGAAAATATTTTTTTTCAGGATTGAACATTTGCTTTCATTTATATTTTAGTCTGTAGTTTGGTTTAAGAAAATAAAATGCAAAAGGAAATTGATTAAGTGTTATAATGGAAAACAACATAAAAATTCTATTTAGACACGGCTATAAATAGCTTAAGCAAATTTTAGCCGCTGACGGCTAGTTTTATATTATATACTTTAGCACGTTTATGTATTATTTTGTCGTTAAACACAAATATTCAATTAAATTATTGTCTTCTAAGATCACATCTTCTTGTGATATTCTTCTAATTATATTAAAATGTTTAATGAATCTTCTTTATGTAAACTAAATGTATCTCCTTGTGTATAGCTTCACGTATTCAAGGCATGGAATACTCAACAAACGGGAGCTCAATCAAGATAGTTACCGATAGTCTAATATTCGGGTTGCTGATTTTCTTTTGGACTCTGCTACACATTTATAGAAGTAATATATGACTTTTTAAAATAATCAACGCCTTTTGAAGAGTAAGGCACTATTATACTATAAACAATTGTAATTGCATAATTTAGAGTATGAGCTGTCATTGAAGTATTGAATATGACGGGTTATTCAGCGCGTTTCTCAATAAATAATACAAATGACAAAAAATAGTTACGAAACTAAGACTAAATAAAACAAATGATCTTCAGATTGTCTTTCAATCTATTCTTAATGCGTGACACAATTAAGCACAGACATAAGTTACTGTAGCTAAAACACTAAAATACACAGAAAAAAACTAACCTTTTTATGAATGTTTATCAAAATATTTTACAGTATTTTCTAAACTCATTTTCTAGAAATTATGTTTTTTGACAAACTATACTAACAATACATATATAAAATAGTATATATATATATATATATATATATATATATATATATATATATATATATATATGTATATGTATATGTATATGTATATGTATATGTATATGTATATGTATATGTATATGTATATGTATATGTATATGTATATGTATATGTATATGTATATGTATATGTATATGTATATGTATATGTATATGTATATGTATATGTATGTATATATATATATATATATATATATATATATATATATATATATATATATATATATATATATATATATATATATATATATATATATATATATATATATACATATATATATATTTATATATATATATATATATATATATATATATATATATATATATATATATATATATATATAATTTATTTTCTATTGATATTAGCTGGAATGTCATATAAAATCAAAACTTTCAATATATGCAGAAATGTAACTCAGTACATTAAGTAGTGATTTATTTGAAATATACTATGAGGGTAAGAATTGATTGATAGGAAACATCTATAGAAAATAAAAAAAGATCACAAAACGGTCATACCGATGGTAAACGGAAAGACAGACACACTACCTAGCGGCTTTTATTATATATTTTAGTCAATTTAGTTTTAAGGCAATAAATAATGGTGTACAATGCTTCTTTTACCTTTAATCTTTTAACTAAAATACACGCTTAAATTATGTATTTTTTAAAATTACTTTTTAAATTTTAGGTGGATAATTTTCTTGTTCCTTGCTTCAATGCCACTTAACACCTGGAAGTCTTATCTACTGGCGATATCCCATAGTGTTTTATAAGGAATCCACCAAAGCTCTAACAATCAGAGCTTTGAATTTCACTGGACACAAGATCATGCAAATTAGCTGAAAACAATTAACGCTATTGTAAGTAACATCTTTAAAAAAATAATATCAGAATAAAGCATTAAAATTTGTATACGCAAATAAATCAATTTTCAATTAATTTTATTTACGTCATTATTTTCTGTACTTATCATGGACGTCGTTTCGTTTCAAAAATGATGGGTAGAATTTTCATTTGTTAGTTCCGTGCTAATAGCACTGGTCTTACCGCCCGTAACGTCGGTGTATGAGTGAAAGTCTTGCTGTGGTGGTACTACTCTGATGTCCAGTTATTTTAGAAACAAAGTCAAAGTAGTGCTCGTTATATTAAGCTGGTCAAATTATTTTACTTCTTGTTTTATATTGTTAAATGTATTATAATGCATACCATAGGCTACTTGTTTTCTTTTAAATTGTATACGCTATCATCAAATAGTATCAATTGTTGAGTCTGATAATTACAACAAAAATGTTTACCGACGAATCTGATATAAAAAAAAAACTAAATAATCTCAAGCTTGAATCTATTTTAATCACTCTTGATATAATAACAAATAAGCTAAACGTAACTTTTATTATGCATGGAAGAAAAATCCCATTCAATTTTATGTGTAGTGTTTGTGTAATGTGTGTGTTAAGAGTGCATGTCGTTTTTAGAGTGCAGTGTCTGTGTTATGTTTAGCGATGTATGTAGAGAATGTGTGTGGGGTGCGTAAACAGTGTTTATTGTGTGTGTGTGTGTGTGTAATTTGTGGAAATACGATGTGCATAGCTTAGTCTGTGTGTTTAATGTGTGTTGTATATGCGTCTTTGAGTGTAGCTCGACTATGTATAATGTGTTGTCTTTGTGTAGTTTGTGTGTATTGAAAGATTCGGTGTGTAGAGATTGTGTTTATTATTAGCCTTAGTGTTTATAGTGTACGTACTTAGTGTACGTGGTTAGTGTTTGTATAGTTTATATAGTGATTGTTTCTTGCGGGTAGCTTGTATACAGTAGTTATCATCCTTTATTTTTCGTGCCTAAGACACATGGGGTAGATAAAGCAAAATTCAAATGTTTTAGTGATCTTGGCTTATAAAGGGACGGTTCCCAGAAAGATGCGCAACGGAAAAAACGCAACTGTTTGCGCTTTTTTTCCCAGTTGCGCATCTTTCTGGTCACCTAAGGGACAGTGTGGTCAGCACTATACCGAGCCGCCTTTGTTTTCCATAACGTAAGTTAGAGACACATCGGAGCTGGGTGGACTTAGGAACATTCTACTGACTAGAAACCGGATTCGAACTTCGAGACTTTCGCGTTAACAGTCTAGCACTTTACTAATAGCCACGCCGTCCTATAGTGTGTAGATAGAGTTGTTGACAAAATTACATTTGTTAAAATAATTTATATCCATCATAATCAAAGTAGAATAAAATATACATCAATATGTTGCTAAATATTTAGATTTTAAATCTTAAATGTTTACATTTTTAAAATAATCGTGCACTTCAATCGTATCACTCATCTTATTAACTGATCACGTTATTATTAAATTAAAATTTTAATGACAAAGGTAATGTCTAATCAGAAAAAAAAAACAAATAGGTATTCTTTTGGAGAAAAAGGTATCTGGAACGTTTAAACGCGATCGATGCATAAGAACTGGTTCAAAATAAAGTTGCGAGATTATTCACAACCCACAAACATTAAAAAAGAACAGTTTTTGTTAAAAGCTTATAATAATGAAATAAGATAAAGTTTTACCACTCATTAGTTTTAGTGATACAACTTTCAACACCGGAAATCGAAGTACTATGTCAAAAGTCACTTACAATGTATTTCAGAAAAAGTCAATCTAAAGGATTATACAATTAATGAGCTCTTTAAGTTACAATATTATTGACTGCAAACTGATTTTACAATTCGTGTATTTAAAACCAGCATTGAGATGAGTATAGGGTTGTTGTTTACACTTGTGGAAGGCGTGTGTTACAGGTCAGATGTAGGTTAGATTAGAATATGCTAGAATAGTCCAGAACGTAGGGGGTGTTTGTGTGTTGAGTTAACACCAGAGTGTATGTTTATTGTTATCCCAAGGTCGAGTGCGGGAATAAAAGCTGGAGTGAACGATTGTAAGGGGAGGATAGTAGCGGCTAGGGTCGAGGGCATGTTGGTAGCGGCTAGGGTCGAGGGCTTGTTGGTAGCGGCTAGGGTCGAGGGCTTGTTGGTAGCGGCTAGGGTCGAGGGCTTGTTGGTAGCGGCTAGGGTCGAGGGCTTGTTGGTAGCGGCTAGGGTCGAGGGCATGTTGGTTGCGGCTAGGGTCGAGGGCTTGTTGGTAGCGGCTAGGGTCGAGGGCTTGTTGGTAGCGGCTAGGGTCGAGGGCTTGTTGGTAGCAGATAGGGTCGAGGGCTTGTTCTTAGCGGCTAGGGTCGAGGGCTTGTTGGTAGCGGCTAGGGTCGAGGGCTTGTTGTTAGCGGCTAGGGTCGAGGGCTTGTTGGTAGCGGCTAGGGTCGAGGGCTTGTTGGTAGCGGCTATGGTCGAGGGCTTGTTGGTAGCGGCTATGGTCGAGGGCTTGTTGGTAGCGGCTAGGGTCGAGGGCTTGTTGGTAGCGGCTAGGGTCGAGGGCTTGTTGTTAGCGGCTAGGGTCGAGGGCATGTTGGTTGCGGCTAGGGTCGAGGGCTTGTTGGTAGCGGCTAGGGTCGAGGGCATGTTGGTAGCGGCTAGGGTCGAGGGCTTGTTGGTAGCGGCTAGGGTCGAAGGCTTGTTGGTAGCGGCTAGGGTCGAGGGCTTGTTGGTAGCGGCTAGGGTCGAGGGCATGTTGGTTGCGGCTAGGGTCGAGGGCTTGTTGGTAGCGGCTAGGGTCGAAGGCTTGTTGGTAGCGGCTAGGGTCGAGGGCTTGTTGGTAGCGGCTAGGGTCGAGGGCTTGCTGGTAGCGGCTAGGGTCGAGGGCTTGTTGGGTAATGATAAAGATGTCAAGTTAAAAAAAGGTTTGAACAGTGCCTTGAATTGTGTTTGGAGTTAATCAGAAGGTCGTTAGTAAATTTGTGTAGTGTGGCCTCGCACAGCTAACATTTAACACAGAAGATGGCTATGTGTGGTGCTGATGTTAGAACACGTAGACGATACACATTAAATCTAACATATGTGTAGGCCTATATCGTGATGATTTGAGTGTGTACATTTGTCTCCATCTTCGGAACAAGTAAGTGCTGATGTTTTTTTTTTTTTTTTTTTTTTTTTTTTTTTTTTTTTTTTTTTTTTTTTTTATGGAAAGTAATTATCATGTATGGTGGTAATTAGGCTATTAGGTAAATAGGGGTGTTTATTTATGTTCTTTTGTTATTTGCAATAGTTAATATTTCTTGGTGAAATTATTATGTTCCACATTAGATTATTTTTGTTTTTATAAGAAATATACATTTTAGTCTCGTGTTATACAAACTCCTTGATTAAACTAAAGTTTTGAAAATCTTCACAATTAGTATTTCATTATTTGAAGGTTATTGATTTGTAATGAAAGGTAGGATAATAGATGTACATGATATAAAATATTAAATATTACATTAATTTAAAGTTGTGCACTATCTAGTTAACAATTTAGGAAAAGACAATACGTATTTTTTCCAATCATTATTAAAATACACTTTAAAAATTATAAGTAACAAAAATAACGATTACCTTTCTTATTTTTTACTTTCTCGTATATACGTAGTATAGAGAAAGTATTGTAATCGTGCAAAAAAAAATCGAGATTTTTACAAATCTCGACGTTTTACACCTCA